TCGATACCAACTTAAACAAAATTAAATATCATACGTTTGAAAAATTATTTGCAATTAAATCGTACGTCGAGGGGGTGAAATGAACGTCAATCGGGGTTGGCGTGTTCATCTTTCCTGGAGCAGAGGCGAAATTTGATGTTGATAGATATTTATACAGACGATACGATAATCATAATTGTGTACCCTTGCTGGAGAAATTAAAAACCGAATTGCACAGATTGTTCACCATTATTCGTATCTGTAAATCCAGAAAGTTAAAAAGTAGACTTTCCACATATACATCGAGATTATACGAGCCTGTAAATTGTTTTACACGTTTGGATGAAATAGATCTTTTTAATATATCGCCAGCCACCCTCGAAAGAGGTCTGCAACAAGTCTTACGATCGATTGATTTGTTATTTACGTGTCTGTTCTAGCTGTGCAAGTTTGTAAAAAAGAACATTGTTAAATTGTATTATACAATCATAATAACGATGCACAGCGATATCGTTGAGCCCCGTAGTCGCCTTTATCTTTTGCCGACGGCCGTAGTCGACGATGAAAAGAACTATGAATGAGAGTGAACAATAAAAAAAAAGCATTGTCTTTCTTACAATTCGTCGCCAACCCCCCCCCAGTTAAGGGTTGTCTCAACCCCTAAATAATCTAACTTGAAATATCCCTTATATTTGTACGTATTAAGTACGTTTTATAGTCTTCTGAAGAGAATTAAAATTTCCCATGAATGCACAAACATCCCCTGTCTACTCATCGCTAAATCGTGAATATTTATGCTAGGTAGACAAGATTTTCTAAAACTAGAAACCTATATCTCTCTTCACGCGATTCCTTGACGATTCCTTATTTAGTTTCCACGATAAATGTTGACCCAGCTACATAAAGATCCTCAATCTTTGGTCATGCCCTGTGATTACGCTCATGAAGACGTCGCGTGGGTGGAGCGCGGAATATTTTCTTGGATTATTACGCTTGTAAGAAGAATTCCGTTATACCCCGGTAACGGGAACATTTTTATTTTCTTAATCGCGTGACGTATCTGACATTAATATTTTCATAAATTTTACGTCCTTGCGAATCGCCGGCGAACGATAGTTTCTTTAATCCAGCAAATTGCGACGCGAGACGCGTACTGTGTTTTCTAGTCGGTGATAACTGTTCCTTCGATAGATATGGCACCCTTGGTATATTAAGAAAAACGATTGGTATTTCCAGTTGTTTATTATAGGACTCTGATCGGAGGAGAATAATATTGGAACAAGAACGCGATAGTACTAAATCGTCGGTTAGGTTTCGTAACGGTATTTTCATCTGGACCACTCTGCTCCACACACTCTCGTACTAATTATATTTTATCTGTACAGAGTCCCGTATAATTCAGGATTTGAAACGAATGCGAATTTTATGGAACGTCTCGAAGGAATTCCCGAGTCGACGAGCTCGTCGATCAATAGGAAAGGATTAATTATGCGACGATAAACGCCGACGTGTAAATTTTCTCGGTCATAAAATCGAACCCACGTGCTCTCGCTAAATTTGGAGCGTTTAAACGACACCTTTCGGATTTTCCCTCCTCTTCCGTCCTCATACGTCTCCGTTCATTCGTTCCTCTCTTATTTCATCTTCTGCCTCTCGATTTACTCCCGAAGAGGTCGCGGGGAATCGGCGAAAAACCTGATTTACAAAAATCCAGCTGGACCGGTTTTGTTTGATTCTATCGCGTTTCATTGAGGTTCATCGCGTTTTATCGAACGGTTTTTTTTATCTCTCATTGTCGACAGCTATTTCATTCTTTGCCTCGTCGATCGGTGTCGACAAAAATGGGGGGAAACGAGGGAAAATGTAGCTAAATTTATAAATCGAGAGTCTATCAACCAAAAAATTGATAGACTCGAGATTAATCAATCTTGTTCTGAATCTCAGCTCCAAAATAGCGTAAACAAGGCAGGTATAATCTATACGAAGACACGCAAAGCTCATCCCGTAGAAATTAATAATAATCCCTTTCTCTACAAAAATACAATTCCAATTATTCTCGCAATCAGCGACTCCAAACTTCTCGTTAAGTGAATCTTCTGTAAATTCAAAGTTCTTTGTAGTCTTGAATCTCTCAATTTAATAATCGAGTCTTCGGATAGAGGCTAAAGTTACCTAACTTCGAACACCGTTTATAAAGCCTAAACAAACACGAACCAACGGAGAAGCGAACCCCACGGGGACTCGGGGGGCCGCGAAAAGAAGAGTGTCGCCCTCTAATCCCGGACATTATTAATACCCGGTAAACTGTCAGCTTCCATTCGTTCGCCCCTGTATAAAAGGATCGTGGCAGAGTCGAGAGGAGAGCAGAGAGGACAGGGTTCAAAGAGTTCCTCACCGCCGCGGACAGGGAGAGAACGTTCTCGAGATTCGAGATAAAGGGAGATCGTTTTACCCGCGGACATTCGTTTAATCTGTCTTCGAGGTGTTGGGTCGTGATCAATGGCGAGGCACGGGTACATCCGTAATCGGGTTTTCACGAATAGGCGACGACGATCTTTTCGGCGTCTCGCCGCTCGATTATCCTTTACGGACACGGGCCAGAGGGTTTCGGGGGACGATTGATGCATCCGTTCCCATTCTTCGTCCTCGGAACGTTCATTTTTCTCTCGGGCGCCAAAAGAAAATCGCGACGCGTGACCTTCGCGATCGAACCACCCTTAACGATCCATCGTACGCAAAAAGCGATAAAATGGGAGTTTGGGCTTAAAAACCATCGTACTCGGTTAATCAGTTTAAAATGGCGATAGTATACTTCCCTTAACCGGGGAATAGATTGTGCAGAAAATAATAAACACCCTTTACCCTCGACTGAATTCGGAGTAAGTTTGTTATATCAAGTGTCTGACTCAGTAAGATCGTTTCGTTGCTCTTGAAATTTGGTAAATTTAACATTTATATATTAACTGGAGAATAGATTGTACAGGAAATAATAATCACCCTTTACCCTCGTCTCCGACTTAGAAAAGAGAAATTTAACGAGTGTTACAAACATCGAAACAACGTATCCAAGTCAGTTTGTCTACCTAAGATCCACGTATGTGTTTTGCTTGCAATCGTTCCATCGAAGTCTCTTCCGAGCAAACGATCAAAGAATATCGAAACCGCGCGACAGAGTCGGACGTAAAATTCGCGAGTCGCGACCGTTAGATTCTCACGCACTCAGGCGGTTTACAGCGGTCCGTGGCGCGCATGTGTGCGCAACAGAGCTCTAGAACATCCATCGACCAATCGGGCCTCGTGATAACGCCCACACACCAATAAGAAACCCGCAGAACGCCCACTGATTAGAACTAGGGAAATCTCGCCGCGCGTCCAGGAAGAGAAATCGATGCCGAAATGGTCGCCACCTGCTCCGGAGTTTTCGAATTTTAATTCGAGGCTTGTCGCCGCCCCCCGAGAACCTTGGCGCCATCGAGTTCGACGTGAAATTCAAATACACGGCGAAAAATTCTGGCGTTAAAAGATAACGAGTCGACGAACGTAACTCCGTGAAACGCAATGTTTGGTAAACAAGTACCGCGCGAGATACTTACAGTACCACCATAGTCGCAGCTTCTCGAACGTCACGGCAGCCAACGGATCACAGTCGCCCAAACACTCGGGTAGCTCGAGAGATCGACACTTCACTGACCGGCCAACCAGAAGTACCCCCGTACCGATATTTCCGTAACTTAACTTCGTCCCCTCATCGTCGGAATCGCGTGCACTTCGCGGTCGAATTCGTTCACTGTGGCCCCCTACGGCCACACCTCGCGGCCGTGACGAGGATCGCGTCCGCAGAAGTCCGTACTCGCAGTGTCGTTCGTTTTTTTGAGGTCCCCGTGATATACAGTGTGTCGATGCGTGCGACACGGAGTCGCTGCGTGAACTGAGGCGCCTCCACTCTGACGCGTACTAGCTGGAGCCAGCACGTTGCGGCTGCCGGATTGTGTGGCCGTCGTGGTTAGTCCTGGGCTGCGTCAGGGAACGCCTAGAGGAGTGGCCATTCCCGACCAATCGGGTCCCGCGACTCCGTGAGGCCGGAGGGTGCCTAATTGTCGGCAGCAACCCCTCTCGACCTACCGAAGGATCGATCACCGGGCCTCCACCACTTCTACGCGACAACGGGGGTTTGTTGCTCGTCGTTACGGTATTGGGAGCCCTATTGGTTCTCGATTTCCGGTTATTGATGTCCTTCCAACGGACTCGGCGTTGCGTGGACGGCTAACGGACCTTTACGTGATCGCCAAAGAGATGAAACGGGTGTACGTTGCTGTCGCTGGTTTGGGCTCTATCGAAGCGAAGGAGACGGTGAAGATATTTTATCGAGGACTCTAGACTTTGGTAGCCATTGTAAATGCGTACACAGTGTGGGCGAGGTAGATGAAATTTTTGGGTCCTCCATTTATAGACCTCTTAGAAATTAATTTAAGTATCGCGATTTTGAGTTGCTCAAAAATTAGGTGTTAGGGAGGGTGTTTATTCCTCGAAATGGAAGTCCAAAGACTCTGGAATACCCCAGACAGAGGTTGGTTATGGGTTCTTAACGCGACAGTTTCCTTTTCGATGGAGGCGAAAGGGAGAGAACGAGAGTTATCAATCCGAGAAAGAGGATTGCGGAGTATCGTACGATGGTCTGAAACTCGCAATCAGCTGGTACCGCTGTAAGGGGGTGTCCCTCGTAGGATCCTCCTACTTTCTACGTTCTCCATCCCTTTGCCGCCGATCCCAGGTACCCGCATCCAAGACAACGGCCCGTTACGCTTCGATCGAACCTGAACCCACGTCGCAAACATATCTGCCGAGGTGAGTGCGCCCTTCGAAATTGAGGAGCTCCTCTGATTTCCACCTAAATTGAGGAAGACGCGTACAACTTTGCTTCACGATTCTAGTTAGAACAGGACACAATTGATGCCCTGAGTAACAGATTATACTGGACAATAGATACGTATGTTGATAGTTTCATGATTATAATCCAGTACGTTCTAATATGGCTGCTGTTGATGTCAGAGGTTTTAGTAAACATATTAGGTGCCCCTAGAAATATTGATAAAGTACAGAGAATTGTTTTTGAAACCCAGCAACATAGCGTACCCTCTTCAGGACAGTGCGCTCTAATATGGCTGCTGTTGATGTCAGAGGTTTTAGTAAACATATTAGGTGCACCTAGAAATATTGATAAAGTGCAGAGAATTTTTTTTGAAACCCATCAACATAGCGTACCCTCTTTAGGACAGTGCGTTCTAATATGGCTGCTGTTGATGTCAGAGGTTTTAGTAAACATATTAGGTGCACCTAGAAATATTGATAAAGTGCAGAGAATTTTTTTTGAAACCCAGCAACATAGCGTACCCTCTTCAGGACAGTGCGCTCTAATATGGCTGCTGTTGATGTCAGAGGTTTTAGTAAACATATTAGGTGCACCTAGAAATATTGATAAAGTGCAGAGAATTTTTTTTGAAACCCATCAACATAGCGTACCCTCTTTAGGACAGTGCGTTCTAATATGGCTGCTGTTGATGTCAGAGGTTTTAGTAAACCTATTTGGTGCACCTAGAAATATTGATAAAGTGCAGAGAATTTTTTTTGAAACCCATCAACATAACGTACCCTCTTCAGGACAAGTTTACCCGAACATCGTGTTTAAGTAGAAATTTCGAGTTGGAGGAGTCCGTTGGTGGCGATAAGATCTACGGAGGAGCTTGTTCCTCGATTCGGGGCGCATTCTTATCGCAGCGACGCCTCCACGCAACGACGCGTTTCCGCAGGTTAACCGCACGTGCGATTTTTCCGTGGCCGGCACGTGTGCGACCGATAACTCTACCGTCACTTCCTACCACGTGTCCGCAGGTGTGCGACACACCGTTAATTAGGCACTGGACGCTCTTGGAGCGACTTCCTCGGGCTGGAAATCGATGTACTCGAGCCGGGAAATTGTGTCGGGGAAAGGAAAAAGCCGGAGGAAATACTCCTCAAAGACCAGACACACCGGCTGATGTCTCTCTCACCCCTACTCTTCTCCCAGAGTCCTTTAAATTCCGCCGCAGGGGAGGCGTCGATGGCGTCAAGGGGTTGAACCGGAGAGGGGTCGCGCACTTGGAAACAGGCAATGAGACTACCCTGCGATGAGAGTTACGTTCAATCGACGGGGATCAGAAAATTCGATGCAGACGGAATTGAAACGTTTATTATTATATATTTTCTCTTCTGCCGTGTGTAACTTTCTCGAAATTATTATTCAATTTCACGAAGAAAGCTTGGTTTATCGTGGAATCGAAACTTTCAAACGTTCGTTCAAGTTGTTTGCTTAAATAATATTTCAATCAATTGGAGCATTCAGATTCTAAACCTAACGTTACAGAACTCATAAATATTATTTGTTAGCAATTTACATTGAATTTAATTGATACAACGGTACGAATATATACCCTAATTAAAACAGAGACTGCATTTTAATGTAACTAGTGAAAATATGAGCAAAGAGTGTCCGTAAACTTAGTCTTAAACGTTTGAGTGTTTGAAACTGTTCGAATTCGACGATCTAAATAACCGAAGGACGAAATAGAATATTCGCGGAACGAGTATCGATTCTATCCGAAATTCGAGTTAATTTGGCGCCGGGAAATGGCCGTCGCCTGGAAAACAGCGAGAAGAAAAACGAGAAACAGTCGGAGCAAGGGTACGGAAGCGACAAAAAGAGAAGCCGAAGGAGAACGTAGAGAGACAGCGGGAGCAAGAGAAGGAGGGATGCTCGAAGGGGTGGAGAAGGCAGAGTTCGGGGTCTGTTTAAACACAGAGGGTGTGCAATCAGGAGTGTTTGCTGGGCCACGAGCGAGCGAGCGAGCGAGCGGATCAAAGGATAAACGCGGATGGGGTGGGTGGCCGGCTGATAGCGCTCTGATTTGATTGTTGGCCGCGGCTATTGTCCCCGAAACTGGCCTATTGTACTTGTCCCCGTGTCGGTACAGGCTTGGTACTTGCACACAGGTACCGAGGACATTGCTGGAACTAACGCTTCTGTACGTGACACTATCTCTTTGCCGGCCGCCATTCCGTTCCCGAGGGGCGGCCCTCGATACCGCGGAAAACGACAATTATTGCGGAGCTCTGCGCGAAAAAATTGCGATATCCACGGTTCCGCCATATTTCCAACCCTCCCTTTGCTTGTTTTTTTTCCGGCCCTCTATTGTCCCCGACGCGGATACTTTGTCGTCGATGGATTTTTATGATTTCCGTGCGAACGGTCCCCGATTGCGATTCTTTCCGGATTCCACGGTGTGGAACGCCATGCTGGTTTTTACACCACGCGTTCGATTAATTGACACGGGGACTTATCTCTGTTCCACTGGCTTCGTGGAAGGGGTCGATCTGTTTTCCAAGAAAACAGCTTCGATATTCGAGGCAGTTCGGGGTGGAAAATTATTCGAATGTTTGTTACTTTCTTGTAATTCTTTATTTTTCTCACTGGGTGGTGTTTACATTATTGTGAGTCCTCTTTATGGTTCCTTAAGAAGAAAACAGCCTCGATATTTGTTCGATGTTATTAGGGGTGGAAAATTATTTAAACGTTTCATTATTTTCTTGCAATTTTTTATTTTTCTGACTTGGTGGTTTTTACATTATTGTTAGTCCTCATATTTCCTTAAGAATAAAACAGCTTCGATATTTTTTCGATGTTATTAGGGGTGGAAAATTATTTAAACGTTTCATTATTTTCTTGCAATTTTTTATTTTTCTGACTTGGTGGTTTTTACATTATTGTTAGTCCTCTTTATATTTCTTTAAGAAGAAAACAGCCTCGATATTTGTTCGATGTTATTAGGGGTGGAAAATTATTTGGTTTCATTACTTTCTTGTAATTCTTTATTTTCTGACTTCGTAGTTTTTGCATTATTGTTAGTCCTCATATTTCCTTAAGAAGAAAAAAGTCGCGATAGTTATTCGATGTTATTAGGGGTGGAAAATTATTTAAACGTTTCATTACTTTCTTTCAATTTTTTATTTTTCTGACTTGGTGGTTTTTACATTATTGTGAGTCCTCTTTATGTTTCCTTAATGTACAAATTTAATTGGTATCATATATTCGCAAGTTTTACTTGTATGGAACACAATTTCTCGGAATTTTTCGCTAATCGGAAAAGTGTATCGTTCGGGAGGAAATTTTCGGGCGTTATCCGTGCATCTGCCCGCCATTTGCATAGAATGCACGTCGCGTGCCTTTAACAGTCGCACGTAGGAGGTGGTTCATGACACTTAAATATTCCATCACCTGTCACCCACGTGCGGAGCTTCCTCGAAACCGACGAAGACGCCCTGCTCCAAGTGTTCATTCAGCTCTGAATAATGATCTTTCCGATCCTCGTGGCTGTCGTTTCATAGTTCTACCACGGCAAACGCATTACCCTACGATGCACTCGATTTCAACGACTCTTTAGGCCTATTGTATATCACAAAACTCAGATTATTTCATAGATGTTACAGTTTTCTAAATTTACATTTACAGACACATTTCGTAGCTACATCTAAATTTCAAATGGTAATTATTTCTTGAAATTGTTAAATATGTGTAGAAATCTAAACGATCGCCATTTATACAAAGATATTAAAAGATAAAAAAATATAGATACCAATAACATTTTATTTTACAATTGTACAGTCATATCGTTGCAATGAAAATAAAAAGGTGATCCAAACCCAGTAGAAAATTGCTCCGAATATGTTAACGAACCCAAAATGGTGGGCCCCGTGTGCAGGGCACGTTGTTTCCAGATTCGACACGTAGAAACCATCACGTGCCTAGCACGTTGTTCCAGCACAGTTAATACCTCATGGTTGACAGATTCCTTTGAGGCCATTAGGGTCTTGTAAGGTAGCGTTTACAAAAACTGAAAAGTAAATTTTTATATGCACAGATAATAATTCCCATTGAAAGATACTGATAGTCACAAGATCACTGTGCGCGAACAATTGGATTTACCCACTAATTATCGTGAAATTCTCGTGGAACGAAGAGTTGAAAAGCCTGCGAGCAACAGTGCAGAGTGCTATAGAGCTCAGAACTGGCGAACGATGTTTGTTACGTGAATGCAGTGTATTCTGTTTCGAGGACCCTTACCTGGACAGAAGGCAGATGAGGCAAAAGAGCTCCTACCATTGGTAACCCACTCGCATCTCTCGGCTCGTGCCGGCTGCTTCCGGTTTTTCAAAGAGGAGCTTGCCTTCTGAGCCCCCGGAGATCCGATCTGACGTGAACTTTGTAATTCACTCAACGAGAGTCGCGTCGTCTTTACAGATTATCGCGTACAAAGGATTACTGTTCCCTATCGAAGCCACCATCTACAGAATTCGAAAACCGTTTCCAAACAAAAATAGCGCGTCGCGAACTTCGTGCAACGCTCCGTTCGAACGCGTCGATAAAAATAACAGATCGAAATATATTTTTTATTTATCGGGCTAATCGTTTCGTAATTCTTTCTGTGTTTGTGTCGGGTCAGGTTGTTTTCGTGCGTCTCGGGGGCCATTGTGCGTTGCGTTTAACCGAATTTACCCCGGAAAACACGCCCTCCAAATCAAGGGTTTGTTCGCAGAAAAAAAACCACCCTTCGAGACGCGTCCCTGGGGTGTTGTGACATATGCTTCGGCGCAGCTTATAACGATGGGATTTTCTGAGTGGAGAGCCACCGCCTTTCATCGCGACTGGTCGTGTATAACGAAAGAATCGGGGGAACGATTATGTTATCGTACGATGGAGAAAGCAACCCCTTTGAAAAAAATTTGAGACACTGAATACCGAATATACTTTCATTCATATTTACAATCGTATTTCCATTGTTTCGATAGTTGTATTTTAGTATTTTAACCTCTTTGAATATGAATTATTTTTGTGGGAGGGGGGAATTCTGATTCTAATAGTGATTTTAATAGTAACCTAACCCTGTTTTACGAGATTAAGTATTCACAAATTCGTGAAAATTGTGATCACTTGTAGAACATAATTTATCATACGAGCCTCTCTGAAGGCTTCCTATCGAAATTGCCCGGACTGTCGATTGCACGTTTCAATCAAGTAATTACGATTTCTCTTGGTTCACACGGTTTGTACCTGCGATTCTTCCCTATTCTCTCACATTCATTAAATCGCACCCAGGATCTTATCTCTTATCGATAGCAACATGACTCTCGCATCCCATCAAGGAAACCGGGGAGCAATCGATGACGGTCGATTAACATCGCCTCCCTTGATCGCGTGTCGAATCATTTTCACGAGGGATTCCATCCAGATCCGAACACAATACTCGTTCAAATGGTAAATATTTAATTATGAAAATATTCGTTGCAATCTGCTTTCAACCCCTTAATTCCAAATAATTTTTCACATGTACACTATCTCATTTTTTTTAAATTTCTTGGCCACAAACAAATTACTTGATGTCGAGTACCTTCACGATTGTGAATCTTGTGACGTAGGAATTTATTTTATTTATCGTGAGTGAACTTATATTTTCCCTTAAATTATAATCGTTTCTACTCGAAAGGGGGTCGCTAATAATTTTCTAATATCGTCACGAATTTGAACCTGAGAGACCAATATAAAAATCCAAACCGATATCCTAGCACTGGAGGGTCCCTTAAAAACGATCCTTGCGCGTCGCCGCAAGATTTAACAGCTCCACGTCCTCCTTGGTCCCCCCTCGGGAGCCCCCGAAACTCTCATTGTGCGCCAATTGAGGCTCGTTTAAGCGGGGGGGCGGCGGTTAAATTGATTTAAATTGGCCCGGTCGCGGACTCGGTCGAAGAAAAAAGAGGGAGACGGAAGCCAGAAGGAAAAAAGTGTTTCTCCTATCGCCGTTTGGAATCTTTCCACGATACGGGAGCATTTATACGCTCCTTACCTGACTTCGTTTTCATCCTCACGGGTCACCATTATAAATTTTTTCGATGAATTTCGGTGGTACCCCATTAGGGCACCCGTATGCTCTAACCAGCGAATTCACAACATAGGCGTGCACAAGTTGTTGCACCTATACGTCCATTTACGGACTTATCGCGTCCCGAGATCGACCACATTTCCAGTCGAATCCTTTTCATACGTTTTTTTTTCTTATGCATCCTCCTTTATTCCCGCTTTTTTCCACGTTTCACGTCGTTGCCACGTGATCGAACGGTTTCTTGTTGACTTATTAGCCACACCATAGGAGGAAGTGATTGTCGAGGAGCTGGAATTTGTATTCTTCGAACGAATTCCTGGAAGCTGATGTTCGAGGTTTTCTATCCTGATCGCCGCGTTGCTCGTGACACGGAATCAATTTGTTTCAATTTGGGTTTGATAGGGATAGACAAAATTTAAAATATCTTTATATCGTATTTTTAAATTAATTTCGTCGCGCCCGTTTCGAGATTAACAACAATTTACGACCTCTTGATTAATCCCTTTGCTGCATCCACCGACAGCTTCTCAAATTCTTTCGATTCTCTAACGTAGAACTTCCCAGTTAATGGACTATTTAACAAGAAAAACATTTCGAGATATCGAGATGAATATTTATAATTTTAGCAACTACATATCAAAATATTTAAATTTGAATTTAAGTTTCACCAAAGAAAACCACTGTTGTTATTTATGTGCCATTTATATTTCTCTTCGTTAAAGTCTCCTTGCTTCCGTTGATTGTTCGCGCACACGCGACCAGTTTTTTGGCCGTGCGAAGGGGTTGCTGGCCGTTTAGGACGGTTCCTGCATAAATTAAAACGCGTACGCGGCTGCACATTTCGTTCGAAATGGCCGGCGTCCCGTCGAGAAGATCCTCCGACGTTTACGCCTGGCACGCGTGGACGATATAAATTTTGCGATTTTTAAAAACTCACCCCCAACGTCCTGGAACTGTCCAAACGGAGCCATTCGCGTGCATCGTTCGGATTCGAGCACGTACGATGGTAGGAATTAATAAATATATCATACTTTGGTCCATTAACTTTATTTCGGACGCATCGATACGGTTACTAATAAATAAATAAGTAAATATTGAGTGAAAATGATGGTCACTCTTTATT